TTTTTTTTTTTTTTTTTTTTTTTAAGTAACTCAAGCAGGGGTCAGGCAGGACAGCCATAGGGGGACCGGGAGAGCGGGGGTGGGATGGGGGCTCATGGTAGAGCCCCCCCCATGCAGCACAGGTCAGCAGTGATCAGCGCTCCCCGCCCCCCGGCCTGACAGCAGCTGGTGACCAGGGGCTTTTCTTTTTCTTTTTTTAAAGAGCCGGGAACTGGGGCTGTGGTCAGGGTGCACTCAGGAGGGCTGGGGGAGCAGGCAGGGGATGGGTCCTGGCAGGGGTCCTCCCATGGTCCCCTCCCGCTCTTCAGCCCCCCCGTCTCCTACTTACCAGCACGGAGTCTGGGTCCAGCTCCCTGCGGCAGCGGGCAGGCACTGCCCAAATCTGCAAAGCTCTCCAAATCTTTTCCAAATTAATTCAGAGACCTTTTCTAATCAATTCAGACCTTTTTATAGGTCTCCTGATTTGATTCAGATTCATTCGGCCGCTGAATCGGGCCAAATCTCCTCCAAATCAAATCAGCGCCCAAGGCTTTGCACAGCCTGAATGGTCACCACTTCTTCTACTACTGAAATGCAGTGACCTGTGGACCAGAATGTTGCAGATATTTAACAATACAAACAAGTCCAGTACACAAGCATCCAGGACCATTAATGAAGAAGTATATCTCTTCCCTGAAGCAATTATCAATAACAAATCCCACCCCCAATACCCTGTAAGAGCAAGATGTACCTCTCCTTCCAAGCTCAGGATGAGATGGCTGTTGGAGAGGGTTGGAGAATGGTGCCCTAGGACTCCAGTGGGTGATTAATTTGTCATATTGGATGTTGTTACTTCATTCTTTTATCTGATCAGGACTAAACAATACATCCTTTTATTTATCAGTGTACTGTCTAGGGCACCCAGAGCATTGGATGGGCAGCCTTGCATTGTAGAAAAAGTAAAAGTTCAGGTCATGGATGAAATAATTCATATTTTGGATAAACATCTATTCCCAGTGGCAGGCAAACCAGAATTCTATCCCTCTGACAAACAGGATATGGTTGACAATAACTAACAATAAGTGCTACTGGCATAGTTGAGCCATTTCTACCAAAGTTGGCTTTGTTCCACCTTTCCAGTTCTAATGCTGACCTGCTC